CGTTAGTTAGTTAGATGGTGCATTAGTCCATCATTCTTAGCTGTGATTGGCTAGTGAAGTGACATTTATATTTTTTTATCTTTAATTGAACTAGCGACGGCGCCGCGACCGGGAACAAGTGGTTAGTAATAATGAAATTTTTACTAAAATATGAACGATTTCTATAAGCCTTTGTTATTATTCGTTTTGGGATTTGAACTGTTTTATTATCTGAGTATCACTGATTGTGGAAATACGTATGAAAACTACGAAAACCATGGTGAAATCTGAATGTCATACAGGTATTACATGAGGTCCCAATTACTAGTGTAAACTGACAGAGCCCAGTGTAATACCTGTATGACATTATACATTTTCTATTAAATAGCATACAATCTGATATAATTTTCTTATTTGTTTAGGTAGATATATGCGAATATAACATATTAGAACACTCAAAAATCGATTTTACTGGTAAAGTCGGCCCAGAAGTATTATCAACACCTCAAGTCACTTTGATTTTTTTTTATGAAATTAAAATAATTTCATAAGGCACTTAATCAAATTGTTTTTTTATTTTTTTTATTGCTATTGACCTTATCTACATCATTTAATGTTAATTACACATTGGTGTGATGCATTTTTTTATCACGAGGATTTTTTAATTTGAGTCATCCTAATGAAATGCAATATTTTGAAATACTACTATTTAAAAAAAAATAGAGATGCAATGTTATTGCCCAAAAATGACATAAAACTTGATAAAGAATATATCTAGCTACATTTTAACGAAAAGGTACTTAAAAAATATCAATATTTGCATCCACTGCATAGAAAAAAGTAAGTACAGGCAGAAAAAAAATTAAAAATATAGCAAAAAAATTTTTGGCATCTCAATATATTTCAAAAATCGATTCAAATTCGTTGTAGATAGTCAAGAAACTTAACTAGGAATTACTTTTGTGCAATTTATTACGGGACATCCTGTACATGAAATAAAAAAGTCGTTGACATTGGGAACCGATGTCGTAAATATATGACATTGAGAAAATTGCCGATTTCCAGATATTTTTTTTTATTTTATTTTTTATGATAATTATATCAATTATTAATACTATTTGGATAGTTTTCATATGAATTCACGATAAAAATAATTCCCGGGCCCCAGGAGGTTAAATTGAGCTGTCTGATCTCTTTATGCTTTATGGTATAGGGTTTGCCTACGGCACCCAGGAGAGTTGATAATACTTGACTGGTGTGTATTACAAATGCTACACTGCTACACCCATGGCTACAAGCACAAGTATAGAAAATGACATTATATTATTCTCATTCTAATAGCAGTTTTCATATTAAATGCTTAATTAAGCGCCAGTGTTATAAAACTTCAGAAAGAAGCGCCAAAACTTTTGTATAAATGTCTCATAATCTCTTAAACATTATAAGAGAATAGAAAATGCATAAATTGACTAGGAGCTTCGAGAAACTTTGAACTTATAGAAGTTTTAGCTAGCACTAGTGTCTATTTTAAGTGCTCTAAAGTCACTTAAATCTACCTGCAACAAAGTGCACTGCTTAGGCTGGGTTGCACCACCTAACTTTGACGGTAACTTTAAATAACCGGTGTTTTTGTATGGAGTTTGATGATTTTTGACGTTTGTCAAAGTTAAAATTAGATGGTACAACCCAGCCTTAGTGCTGAGGAAGGAATTTAACATCACGACGTGTTCTTCTACTAAAAGTCTAACGCCCGTATTCACAAACATTACTATGAGGTCTCATACTGCTCGTGGACACACAAGGTGACACGCGAACCAATCACAGAGCTTTATTCAACGCTGTGCGTTCAATTTGCTGCTTCACTGCAATGTCAAGCATTGTTTGTATAAGAGCTTACCTAAAATACTAATTTTGTCAGTTATTTCAATCAAGTAGGCTAAAATATCCTTTAGCTGGACATTAACGGATGTAAAAAATAATTATTTTTGATCAATCTCTACTAAAATTAATTTATGTAAGTATTTAAAAAGTTTAATATTATACTTACAGTTTAACAAGACATGTTATTATGATCGGGAATTTTCATTCGGTTACGTCAAATTGATGTTATGTAGGTAGTAAATATATTAAAATTTAGAAAACTAATATGCTACTTCACTTACTTATAGCCATATCAATTTGCTTTCTTACGAAAAAATCATCCGGTAGTTTTATCAAACTAAACACCGTGCATATAAAATAAAATGGTACTAATGACTTATTGATTTTTATACTTCCTACTATTGATCGATATAATTAACATCCAATTGAATACTTGTGATTGATGTTTATAAGGCAGGTACAAATCAATTAATTTCCCTTTTTAAACGCGTACTAAATGGCAAATATTTAGGCTGAGTTGCACCAGCTTACTTTAACAAACGTCAAAACTGAGTCAAACCCATACAAAATGCACTGGTTATTGTTAAAGTTATAATTAAAATAAAATAAGTTGGTGTATCTCAGCCTTAGGTTGAGTTGTACACAGTAGTTTGACAGATTTTTGACGTTTGTTAAAGTTAAAGTAAGATGGTGCAACCCAGCCTAAATTCCTTCTATAACAATTGATCGAACGTCAACAATCGGAATCCCACTTGTCACGTATCTGGTCGTTACGGCCCAAATAGCTCCATTTGTTGGCGCCAAGTATTTTCTCATGGTCTCTTTTGTAGGTCAATTTAACCGAACCGTCAATAAAATGATAGTTATCCAGCCATTAAATTCGTGACTAAAATAGTTAACAGTGAATAAAGAAGATCAAATAATTGAATTAGAATCTTCAAAGTAAACTCTATTAAACCTGTAATAAAATTTAACCTGGTTGCTACGAGCACAAACTTAGATAAGGTACCTAGATAAAAGCAAAAACATTAAAATATGCAATGAAAAAATAATAGATATTCAATTTAAGTACTTATTTGTTTCCTTTTTATTTCGTTTATGTGATTCAGGTATAGGTACCTAAGTTTGACCTCATTTCTCTAACTTGTATTTTATGTTAATTAAATTCAAACTATAGACGTCCCACATAAAATCCAAACACAATATCGCACCCTTAATAATATAGGGGCACAACTCAAAATTTTTGGTTTTTTACTTTTTGTACTAGAGAGGCATATTTTCGTCAGTTCTACAAGATGGCTTTTACAGAAATCGAAAACAATGATCAGATTAAAGAGTTCTACATTTTGTGCCCCTTCCATAATTTCAACTATCTTCCCGCTAGAAGGGCTGAATCAGAGACATGCCGATATTTGTCGAATCCGGCCCCCGCGACTGTGGTCCAATTTGTAGTTGTGCCTTTGTGTGACAAACTTTTAAGTAAGTGTTAGTGAGCTAAGTCTAATTAATTCCATATATTTCTAATAATATGTTACATTTTCATTTTTATTACATTGATAAAGTCCCGTTAATCATAGAAAATTATAAAATATAACTTTAACTTTAGTTAGGCGGACCATGGATGGGTGTTTGTAGTTAAATTTATAACTCTCCTATAAAAGTAATTTGCTTCTTGGTATTAATTTTCATACCTATTGGTTGATTAGGAGCCTATAGAATGTTTTATCGCGATGCTAAGAAATAAAGCGGTGGTTATGAAATACTTCCCGACAAATAAACTAATGATTTATAAAATAAGAGACATACCTACGTGTTAAGGCTATTAACGTTCGCTCGGGGCTCGGGTTGGCTTTTTTCTTTGTTTATTTCATGAATAAACGCACTAGTCAGCCAAAAGGTGAATTACTTTAATATGTTAGTGTTATAATTTATATTTATATTCTTTAATTTATTACGGTCACATAAATTGATGCTAATTAATCACTCAGATTCTGAGGACTGAGGATACATCGAATTTATTTTAAAATTATCTTTTCACGTATTAAGTTACTACAATTTTACTGATCAGCTATTAGACCTTGAAATTTTCAGTTTGTCTAAATTTAAGTTCTAAAGTGCTTTTTGTCTTAAAAATGTGAGTTCGTAATGTAATCTTGTGTTAACACCAGTTTTTATTAATATGTGGCAAATATTGTACACAAAAGCAAAGAAAAAAGATCACGGAGTTTGTGATAACAAACCAAGCATACTCTGGGATAAAAATTGTACAAAATAATAAATATTGGGTGTCCAATATCGTCGTAAACCTTGTGTACCTAGACTCTTTGCAATACTGAAGTCAAGCAGGACGTAAAGGGCTTCTATTTGGAGGGCCAAAGATATGTATTGAGCTTTCTAATCACTAAAATGATCAAAAGCAAAATGATGATGAGTACGGAAAAATTAAAAGCAGCTATCTTCGATGGACTGCAAATCCGTGCTCTTATAAAATACTGTATTTGTAAACCATATAACACAAATTGAATCTGAAGCATGGCTAAGGTGCTTTAGTAGTAAAATATTTTTTGGGGAATGTTACAACACCAGAATAGATATTCTTGTGTTCAAAATTGGTTGCTAAAATCCTTCAAAAATTACACACGCCAATTTGAGTTCGTTCGTTTCAGCCAAATGACGTCCACTGCTGGACAAAGGCCTCCCCCAATTTGAGTATTAAATTGTATTTTTTACAATAGCCATTTGAACTGATTCCCACATAATGTGGGTGATTATAGTAAGGGACAAGGAGAACGGTTCCTTCCACCAGGACAGCAGGATAGTGGAAAAAAGATACCAAGGTACTGGCTGTTGGACTTTAATAAGTGATTATCCTGAACAAATCCATAACAGAAAACCTTATTCAACGGCCAAGTCACACAACATTAACTATAATAATAAAGAAATCGCAGTAAGGAACCATAGACTTGGCACAACTTTGTCTAGATTTCATTACTTTTTAGAGATAAACAAGCAGCTCCATCGAGACTTGGCTAGTTTTTTACAGAATGTTTTTGGTGGGATTCATTATTAAGGGTGCGATATGCCACAATGCTTTTCACTCGCTGCATAATATTATAGATCTTTCGACCGATTAAACTTACATTTTGCTGTTCGAATACCGGCACGAAACGGAGAACTATTTTCTTCACTAAAACTAAACTTCACACGGCACTAGCAACGTTCCGTAAATTCCTGCTTGTTTACTATGTTCACTTACACAAATTGCAACAATGTGCAATAAATAATAAACAATATTCGAGCGAGGTTTGAACACGTTCGCTTAGCTTAACTACTCGCGCACCATGGAAGCATAAATCCAAAAGCTGTGTGTTTTGAGATGCACGGTGTTTTTGTTCGGTGCAAGAGCGAGACGGGACGAAAAACAACATAAGCTTTCGTGGAAGTTCGGCTCGCTCCGTGCATCGCCATCGGCGGTCGAGTTCAGAGGTTGGGATAGTATGGAATGGACGATATTTTTTTGAGAAATACCTACCTATATTCTTTAAGGCTTTAAAAAACACTTAATCAAGATTTTTATAATATCTATTTCTACTACGAATATAAACCACACACGTATAGAAACTTTTAGTTTCAAACAAAAACTATTGAATTATGTTACTGATAGGTATTTTAGAATAAATAACACTTTAAAGCCCCATCAAAAATGATGTTTCAAAAAACAAATGTTAATAAATGCTGTACATAAAATAATGTCTTTGTAATAAACATTTTATAATAATAATAAATATGTATCATGTATACCTACGATGACAATATTTAACCTTGTCACGTCATTTCTAAACGCCCCCGCTAATAATGCCCCATTGTTATCCTGATTGCACATTCCGATAGGGGTTATAAAGGGTTAACTTGTTTAGAGGAAAAGTGGCTCTTATTCTTAGGTTCGCGAGAGATGAGTTTTGTAAAACAGTAATGTACAAACCATATAAGGGGAAGTCACTGTTATGACAGTTCTGAGACTCTGGGAAGATATTAAATGAATTTTATCGAAATAAGTAGGTATTTTACCACTTTAAAAGAGAGATATTATACTTTGCGGTTTCTACTGTATTGGATAAGGGGGAAAGTCGATTTAAACTCAGGCTGAAAATATAATTTAGTTCCATTGTACAGCAATACAAATGAACTTTTTGTTTTACTTATCTCTAAATATCAGAGTTAGGTATTGTGAATTAGTAATATTTAATAATACATTTATAGTTGTACAGTAGGCTGCAGACTATAGAAAATCAATCAATCTAAGAAAATATCTACCATTTATGGCATTTGACTGCGTCATGTCCATAATGACCTCTCGCCATCGATCGCAGACGTTGAATGGACAGCAGATGGGGGCGTACGGAATAGTACTATGGGTAGTGTCTCGAATGTCCCATGCTTTCCTATTATTCCACCATCATAAGAGTCGACTCACACGCTACGTCATTGTCCCGGAAATCGTTCCTTATTCAATCTGGATATTTTATTTTTGATGTGACTCACAGTCGCTTTGAACTGTAATAAAAGTAGACTCGTAATTTTTTCAGATACCACATGTAGTTTTTATTTTCATGTTTTAGAGCTAAAGATCTTTATAAATAAACACTAGTCATTGATGTGTGTCATATGTTTAAAAAAATATCTTAGCAAGAATTTAAGACACATTCATATGAACGACGGCACCGTGGTTTACGCATTTAAAATTTTGCAGCAAACAAAAATAATGGTCAAATGTCAAATCAAGGGAGACAAATGTAATTTGAGTTTCTTACGTACAAAATACTATTATTTTAAACAAGTTATAAAGCTGAACTAAAACAAACTGTTTTAGGTGGACGGCAGCAGGGTTCAACAACTAGAACATTCCAACCCTAAAGATTAACGAGAAAAATATTTTCATAAGAAGCCATAAGCCAAAATTAATAGCCGTTGTTTAAATTGTTCCCTGTATAAGTTTTGAAAGCTTCTAAGAATATTACATTACACCATGCTAAACCCATTGAGCGTCGGTAGATCCAAACAAACACTATCATGCGCGTGCTCTCTTGGCACGCTGTTTACGTGACCGACAGCTGTCATAATAAGTTAATAACAGGAGCTACGTGTGAGTCGGTCACTTCAATCCTGTCGCTTCAAGGTTTCGTTTAAAAGCGACATGTCGATGTCGGACTAGCCGAGGATTGCCGGTTCGAACCCGCTAAACTAATGTTAGGAATCCACTCGTGACACAAACATGTTTATTTGGCTTGGTATGTACATCAAAGGGTTAAAGAGTCTATTACTAATTTGTATTGCACAATAACTAATACCAAATTCTTAAAAAAAAAACCCAATTCGATGGCTCCTACGTATAAAGGCGAAACTGCCGCTTACGCCTTTTTCCAATTATTTAAGCAATGGTTTCATTTTGCTCTAATCTATAACTTCAGTAAGAAAAAAAAATTTTTTTTCCATTAGATACAAAATAAAGTTTTAGGCAAATAGGCGTATGTGCAAAACTACGCCACGTATAAAGCCCAATCATACGATTCGTCAATCTATACGAGTAGTTGCTTACATAAATATATATTTTTTATAATCCAAATCTTAAATAAAGCCATGAAAATATTTAGCAAATTGTTTTATTTATAAATTATGACACATTATATAGTTATTTATTTTTTAGCGTTAAGAGTCGCATCTCAAACTACTTTGAAAATTATAAATAACTTGAAAAAATCGAACTGCCTAAGGCATCGTGGGTTCAATTCCCGCCTTAGGCAGTTCGATTTTTTCAAGTTATTTATAATTTTTAAAAATATGACACATTATGTGAAAAGGCCTAACTAAATCTCGAGCACAGTATATGGGCGTATTTGCGTTAAACGTAATAACGATACATTAAACAACTTTTTCTAACTGATTTATTATTGATATAGCACATGATAACAATTAAAATAAATACATGCATAAATAAAGAGAGTAATCGCTTAAAATATTATATTTACGTTGTCATTTAAGTCTCTTTACGTTGAACAATATACATGAAATTATAGAAATCTGACGACGTAAAAGGGCAATGCGTAAAATCTCAAAATATATAAGAAAAATATAAAAATTGATAACAGCAGTAGCAAAAGCATTACATGTTAAGGCTAAATGTGAAATTTCATTAAATTCGTTTCAGTAGGTCAGAAGATATGACCCAAAAATATGGTTCTGGCCACTTAAATGGCTCTCCTGTAAAATCTATTTTTTTCACTTACGCCAGTATACGTAGGAGCCATCGCAATGAAGAACTAAGTATGTTACCTATAATAATCTAAGGATAGTGCACGTACGTTTTTTGGAAGTAGCTTTAGACTAAGTAAGTAATTATTTACTTGAGTTTAGTGCCACTTAAGCTAGTAGACCTAAGGCCATGAGAAATGAGATTAGGGTTACACAGTTTTGGTCATGGTCAGTAATGACGTTAACAAGAACTTAATTTCAATTTTCAAAGTTATTCATATATGTTATCCTGAAATATAACTAATCTTTTCAAAATCTTAGTTATGGTAAAGAAAGAGTTTAAATAATCTACTAGAATGTTGTGCTCCACTTTAAGTAATGTAACACTTTGTGGAGTCGTGAGCGCTGATGTTGTAGTTGTACACTTACAAACGATATGAGATTTATATGAGTTATGCTAACGGGTTCTCATTCCCAGTCCACTAGTGGTTTGACGCCTTTTCATAGTGACCTTTTATTTACACGCTATCTCTACATTGCATTGCTACCGTTTCTACTTTCGAGGCTCTAGCGAGAAATGTATATCTTCATATAAGCAGTATATTCCCCATTGAAAAATTACATGTTTCTTACATTCCTTTTTCATTGCCGGTCCTGGTAGGTAGGACATCGCTGTACCCACTTATATAGAGGTACAAAAAGTTTTTTTCTTCCATTACTTCAAATAACATCGATATGCTATCCCATTACCAACTTGGCAGTCTTTTTTTGTCAATTAATATGAACTTAAACTTTGTCAAGGCAAAATACCCCATAGATTTGGTATAGTAAAGAAACCTATGACGTCTCTGTTCAAAGCTAATGAAAATATTGAAAATTGAGTTTTACAACAAAACTAGCAGGCCAAGGGAAAAACTGAGGTTCTTTTTAATATTCCTGACCTTCTTTTATGAAGGAAAATAATTATGTTACATACACCCAGCTCTATGTATATTATAGTGCAGATTAGTGCAAGCCATGCCCTTGTATACAAACACGTTAGTAATCGCTTTTGCACAAATATATAAATACACTCGCGAGCAAAACTATGGAATCACTTACATGAAGTTGTTTCCACGCGAACTTGTGTACTAACGAATTTGTTAGTAACAAAAAAAGTGGCACCATTTTAAAGATTAAACTTTTATCTTTAAATTGATACCAAATTCATTTAAATCACACCAGTATTTAAAAAGATATCCCGGCTGATGTGAAGAAGTAACGAAAAAGACATGTATGAACTGTTTGATACGTCGCGAGTTGCGGCCTATTTAGCCCCTGTAAAAGCACGCGTTTTTAGATTTTTGCTTTCACACGTTGATTCATACACATCTCCGCTTCTTTTGACACTTTACCTGGGATTCTACACCTTCAGAAGCAGCACAAATCGTTGCACTATTGCAAGAAAGGCTCAGCCAGCGGGCTGTCGCACGTCAGCGCCACATAAGCCAGTCCTGGGTTTCGAAAGTTTCAAGACGCTTTCGGGAGAGTAGTGGCTTTATCCCGAGACCAAGTTCTGAACAGCGCCGGTGCACATCGCAGAGGGAAGACCGTTTTTTCATGTCAACCTCTCTATGAAATCGTCATTTGACTGGAATCGATGTCCATCAAGAGCTCAGAAATGTTCGTAAGATAGCTGTTAGCGAGTGGACAGTTCGTCTAAGATATAAGCAATAGAATTTGACTCCAAAAAGGCCTGCCACAGGCTCGAAACTGACGGCAGGTCACCGATAAGCACCCTTTCAATTTGCTCGTACACATCTCGATGGGAAGGCGAGTAATGGAGGCGAGTTCTGTTCTCCGATGAATGCAAACTGTGTTTGCAGGGCAGCAGTCGAAGAGGTCGGGTTTATAGGCGGCCTGAGGAGCGATTTGTGCAGTGCTGGTTCGCTGAAACAGTGGCTTATGGGGGTGGCTTGCTCGACTTAACATCGAGATGTGTACGAGCAAATTGAAAGCGTGCTTATCGGTGATTTGCCGTCAGTTTCGAGCCTGTGGCAGGCCTTTTTGGAGTTAAATTCTATTGCTTATGTCTTAGACAAACTGTCTACTCGCTAA